ACTACTACAACTACTACTACTACTACTACTACTACTACTACTACTACAACTACTACAACGACTACAACTACTACTACTACTACTAGTACTGGTACTACGACGACTACGACTACTACTACTACTACTACTACTACTACTACTACGACTACTACTACTACTACTACTACTACTACTACTGCTACTACGACTACTACGACTACTACTACTAGCTACTAGCTACTAGCTACTAGCTGCTAGCTACTACTACTACTACTACTACTACTACTACTACTACTACTACTACTACTACTACTACTACTACTACTACTACTACTACTACTACTACTACTACTACTACTACTAGGCAGGAGCTCGAGCAGGTGATGACGGAGCTCGCGCAGACTAGCTCTAGCTACTACTAGATGTAAAGACGGAGCTCGCGCAGGTAAAGTTGCAGGCAGGCATGGCGTACTCGCTCGCGGAGGAGGCAATCGACAAGGTCACCGGGATCGAAGAGAAGATCCAGATCATGGACAACAAATTTTTGGATAAGGAGGAGGTGGAAAAGATGATCCGTGATTTCATGAAGATTCCGTTGGACGGCGCACACAAAGCAGAGAAACAGAAGACCGCCGAGGACAAAGACAGATTTTCTCGAACAGCTGTTCTGGGAGGCTTCCCGGAGGATTCCGAGAAAAAGTACGTCACCGAGTTCATTGAGAAGAACATCGCCCACGACGCCGAGGGCATTGATGAGGTGTACGCGTACTCCTTCGGCAGCGTCGGCTTCGTTCGATTCAACACCCAGAAGCATTTGCACGATTTTCTCAAGCGGAACAACGGCAGGCCCAAGGAGACAGTTGAAAGACTTGTGGATATCGGCCAGCCGGAGCCCTGAGGAACGCATGCGGGGCAAGACGCTGGGAAAGTATAAGAAAGTGCTCATCGAGGTGGGGCTCGCCACGGCGGAGGACGTTCGCGTGGACTACCGCAGAGGCATCCTCATCGTGAACCGCGTGCGTGTTGGAGAGTGGACAGGCGAGGGCAGCGACGGCCAGGTAGCTCTCGACTCAGACAAGATGAAGGAGGCGGGCATCAACGTGGACGCCTCCGTGATCAAGGAGGCGGTGAACGAGGCCCTCCGGGGCTAGGAAATGAGTGTGGCCTGCAAGCTCACACAGAGTACCCGTCGAAGGAGAGCCCAGAGCTCCACCGAGGTTCCTCGAAACCGCAGCCCGGAGAAGAAACAGGATGACACGCAGTGGGATATCATAGCGATTGCAGAAACATGGCGGGCAGATGGACGCGAGGCGTGGGCAACTCAGCACGGACACCACTGGTTTGGAAGTGGGGGGACTCCGAGAAGATGCGGAGTTGGATTCTTGCTACACCGGCGGTGGTCGCACAAACTCTTCCGAGCGCTATCCAACAGGCTAGCTGTGCTGGACATGAGCCTTCCTGTCATAGGCGTCGACAGGACCATTGCTGTGTACATGCCGCACGCAGAGCAGGAGGAGGAGGAAGTGGAGGCCGTGTACGCCCAAATTGACGTTCAGTATAGAGAAGCCTGTCGAAAAGGGATCGCCGTCATAGCTGCAGGTGACTTCAATGCCGAAGTGGGGCCGCGAGGAGATCACGATGACAGAAGCGTGGTTGGAGAAAACTCCATGCCGAAGCGCAATGACAGAGGCGACCTGCTGATCCAGTGGTGCTGCTTGCGGAGCATGTCCACTGCTAACACATTCTATCAGCAGTCCTTTGAGGAGGCGTGGACGTACAGAAATGGGGATCGAAGAGCGCAGCTTGATTATTTTCTGCTAGACAACACAATGCAATCAGTCGTTTCGCTCTGCACGGTATCACCTGGCATAGACGTGGGATCTGATCACAGACCGGTCTGCTTGCAGCTAACGCTACCCTCTGCTCGCCGATGCCGGCGAAAACGTAAGAAAGACCCAGCGTGGCAACCCGGGACATCGCATGTCTCATCTCTGGAGGCGCGCCTGCAATCTGTCAACTGGTGCGACGTGACCGCGGCCGGCAAGATCAATATGTTGAACAAGTGCATGACGGACGCAGCTCGGGACGACCAGGCGCGCGAAGGTGCCAATCCAGAGACAGTGCCAGCTATCGAATAGGACGAAACGTTGCGCATGATGATAGCTATGCGCAGGAGTCTTCAGACAGCGGACCTCCAGGCAGCAGACAAGAAATACCTCAGGACGCTATGGAGCAAGGAAATCCAAAAGCGGATCCGTGCTCGCCGGGTCAACGCCAAACTTGGCAAGGCGGAGAGGATCTTGGAGGAGTTCCGTGGTATTAGACAGTTGAAAGAAATTGCAGGTAACCGGTCGAAGTGCCATATCACTGAAATGAAGGACAAGGACGGGCATCTCCACAATGACCGGACCTCGATCGCCGAAGTGTTTGCGCAATTTTACGAAGACCTGTACGCGACCACCAGGGGCCAAGACAGGCCAGAGGCGTACGCGCCCGGAGGGG